GCCGCTCCGTCCCGCGCCGGAGAAACCCTAGAGGGGGAAGGGCTGGGGGCCGCCGCCACCAACGCCGCCCGGGCCAGGCCCGAGGCGGGCGCCGACGACAGCGGCGGGGAGGAGGAGGAGGGGGGGACACGCGCGGGGACGGAGGGAAGGCACGGCCGGCCGCCCGCGGGGGCGGCGCGGTCGCGGACGGGAGAGAGGGGCCTCGAGAGATACCGCCGGTGTTGAAGAACGAACCACGTCGAATAGTTTCATCAACCTGGATCTATACACATAGAAAAATTACTAAAATATACACTTTAATGTGTATTTAAAATGTACTACTCCGTCCGTTCACTATTATAAGATGTTTTGTATATTTTAATATGAATTATATATGGACTGAAATAAATGAACAACGACACTAAAATGTGTATAGATACATTCAATTTAGAAAAAAGTCAAAACATCTTATAATAGTGAACGGAGAGAGTACTACTAAGTTCACACAGTCAGTTTTTTGAACACTGATCAGACACACACTTTTCTGACATTTGCAAATGTGGTGCTCACTTTTTTGACATCAATGTGATGCTCAGTTTGTTCATAAAAAGTACTTTCATCTCGTACAATATTATACTCCCTCCGTTTGAAAATAAGTGACTTGTTTTAGTTTAAATTTCAAATTTAACATTTTTTAGTTTAATTTTGAAATTTAAACTAAAGTAAGTCATTTGTTTCCGAACAGAGGCAGTAGTAGAATTTCACTACCCGCTAAAATTAAAATGAAATAGATGGAGCAGCAGCCACACTCATCCAGATCTACCGTTTCCTTATTTTTCTTCTTTATGCAGTAAGTCCCGCCCCTTGGTTAAAAGGGTGACAGTCAGTCACCCCCAAAATAAGAAAAAGGGTAAGATAGAGGCCACTGCACCCGAATTGGAAAAATATTTTTCTAAAGTCAAAAAGACTCAACACTTTCTTAATTTTTTAAACAAACATAACCTAGCATATTACTCGTGCGTAAAGTTTCGCAGAAGAATGACTCTAGAGGTATCCTCCACAAAAGGATATCACAAGTCCAAAAAATATGAACAGTAACTTTTATATAGTACGTATTGATTTCGTTTTTCCCCTCTAGAGTACCACCTTTCAGAACTTTCACGCGAGTATTACACCAAGTCATATACTCTCCCGGTCCCAAAATGTAAAACGTTTTTCAAGCCCTATTTAGCTTGCAAAAATGTCTTACATTGTCGGGTGAAGAAAATATTGTTATAAACAGTTTCAGATTTTGTTGACTCTTTTTTATATTATTTTTTTCAATTAGGGTGCAATAGGACGCGAGACCCATTGGCTATTTCTGTATGAGCCGGCTTTAAATCTCGCACCAAGAATCCAGCAATTCTAGTACTATTTCCTTGTTTCTAAATATAAGTCTTTTTTAGAGATTTTAATACATACTACTTTCTCCGTCCCAAAATTCTTGTTTTAGATTTGTCTACATATGAATGTATTTATTTACATTTTAGTGTTAGATACATCTGTATTTAGATAAATCTAAGACAAGAATTTTGGGACGAAGGAAGTACATACCAATGTATATATAGCCATATTTTAGAGTATAGATTCATTCACTTTGCTTCGTATGTAGTCTGTATTGAAATATATTTAGAAATGGAAGGAGTATTAATGCCCATATCCAAAAGATAGATCCTTGTTAATTATTGAACCCGGGTCCTGCGGTCAAGTACGAGAGGACCCATTGCTGTTGCTTCCTGTTGACGCCATTTTGTTTCGTCAGATCTATTAGACTCGTAGTTTGGATGGGTCTCAAGTTTCAACTTTCCTGGATTGTTTTTGTTGCTACGCGAAAAAGGGTCAGACGGCTGCGTCACCCAAGAAAACTGCAATGGCTATCTCGGAAGATTGGAACAGGCGAGGATGAAGACTGAACTGTAGTACGTGTGCGTAGAATACCATGAGGTAGATGGCGGAGCCGGCGACGAAGGTCCAGTAGCGGCCGAGGTAGGCGTCGGCGACGACGGCGCCGATGAGCGGCGTGAGGAAGACGGTGCCGGACCAGTTGGTGACGTTGTTGGACGCCTCCACCGTCCCCTGGTGCAGCCTGTTGGTCATGTACATCACCAGGTTGGACGCGATGCCGTAGTACGCCATCCTCTCGAAAAGCTCGTACACTGCACACACAACGCCGCCGACGACGACATGAACGCAACAAGTAAGCCGGTGAGAAGAACGTGCTATGTAGGCAGGAATCTGTTGCCGCGCGCGTACCGACGATGAAGGCGCAGGCGGTCCAGCCGCCGCGCTTGGAGCGGAGGAGGGGGTTGCCGCGGAGGTCGACGGAGCCGTCCTGCGCGTACGCCCCCTCGCCGTTCTCCATGGCCTGCTGCTGCTGCTGCTGGCTATCTCTCTGTGTGCTGGGTTTAGCCATAGCGCTTGTCTGGCGAGACAATTCAATGGCTGCTGCTGCCTCAATGGGTTCCCCTGACGAGCTACTTATGATGGATGGCCGCATTGATTTGTGTACGTAGGGGCCGTTTCTTTCTGGCTCCCTTCTGACCAATGTCGCTGAATTACGATTATACCCTCCAGACAAGTTTTTTCCGCTGAAAGAGCCTTGACGACGAGTCGCACTAGACCGACGCAGGTAATGCCCTGGCTGAAGAGTGGTGGCAATTCACGTCAAGAAAAAAAAAGAGCGGTGGTAACACTGTGGATCAGGGCAACGTCGCCCAATGCTCAGACCACGATCATTATAAGTGGCCAAATGGAATTTAAGGAAAGAAGAGGCATGTCTCGTGGCCGGAATCGATCGGGGCGGCCAAATCGAGCGCTCCTATTGTCCATAGGACCACGCACGGAGTCAACGGGTCGCCGGCCGGCCGTCGAAACCTTTTTTTCCTTGATGATCCCACGTTTCCCACCAATCCGCAGAGCTCGTTCCTGGGGCGTATGGATGGATGCCCGGGTGCGTAGGAATAAAACGGCATCGTGCATTGTTTCTCTATCTAACCCGCCCAATCGGCATCGGTTTATTCTGCTTTTTCTACACTACTCCTGCTCGGATGGATAATACACTATGGTGGGATGATGGAAATTGAACAGCTAACAGTGTTTGTTGCGGCGACAACAGGAATCAGGTGCTACAGCCCACGGCGCATTATGGATGGTGACTTTCGGCTGGGGCACGTCGCACGTGGACGTGGGATTTGGGGAGGCCACCGCCGACACGTACGGCTCATATCCAATACCCCGGTGCGCTCGTGGTCCTTCTTCTGCGGGAACATGTGTAAGCTGTATGTACCCCACAGCTTTGAGGCTTCTTTGTTAAACTTTGCGTGCCTTTTCTTTTTGGGCTGGGAGTCTTTTTATAAACGAAGGCAAAACAGTTGCCTCGTCTATTAATCAAGCAGAAAAGAAGTGCTGAGTTAATTAACAAAAAATCGGACAAAAACCATTAGAAATGTATCACACGTGGACTACTCACAAAGTCTGAAACCTAATGACCGCACAATCAACCTTACAAACATCCCTGACATGCAACAATCATTTCTACATCGCGAAAGAAACCCTAATAAGAACACCCCAGCCTAATACCACTATATCTATGATAAAAGCCAAACCATGAGATGGACCAAGAGACAGAGTAAGATCCATTAAGCAGCTGGAGACGACTTTCCTATGGTCCACTCTTCTTACCTTAACTCGTGAGAGACTTCTCCACCTTCTTGATATTGCCCCAAATATTCTTCCAGTCAAGAGGCACACAAATATCCTTACCTACCTAGGTATAGCCGCTGCTAACATGGAGAGCAAGTCGCTAAGAGCATCTCCAGCCGCGCCCCCAACAGGCCGCCCACGGCGACTTTTTTCGCATCGGCGACGAAAAAAAAAACCCTGTCACGCCCCCAAGACGCTGAAATCCGCCGGCTCGATCCGTTTTTGGGCCCGGCAATCCCAGGCCGAACCCAGCGAATTTGGGGGGCGCTCGGGGGCTCCGGCAAAAGGGGAAAACACGCCTGGCCAACACTGTCAGGCGAAAAGTCAAGGCAATCATCCAGATTCGCCCCCACCCCCACGCGCTCGGCCACCACCCTACCGATCCCGGCGCCGCCCACCGCCCAGCACTGCTAGATAGGCCATTCCTCACCGGAAAAGAGAAAAAGTTTCGCCGCGGCAACCTCTCCACCACCTTCCGGGCGAGTTTTCCGGCGCTCCGTCCCCGCAGGGCGGTATACCGGCGGCTGTGCACCCACCACGTCCGCCAGGTGTTCAGTGATTTGTCTACTCGGCGATGGACTCAGACGACGAGGAGGCGCTCGCGGCGTTGTTGGAGGATGAAGCCGATGCCGACGTCTAGGACGAGGAGCATCTCATGGTCCTCGCCGCCCTCGCCGGCCTGCTCGCGAGAATGAAAAGCCGCGGCGATGTGGCTCAGTGCCGGGGCGACTGAAAGCAAAGAACCGACATTGTATGGAAGGCTATTGCATGCTCTACTCCGACTACTTCGCCGACGCTCCATTGCACGGCGACAAAGTATTTTGGCGCCGTTATCAGATGAGCCGAAAGCTTTTCCTCAGGATTGTGAATTCCATCCAGGAGTTCGACAACTACTTGAAGTGCAAGAAGGATTGCACCGGCAAACTTGGATTCACCTCAATCCAGAAGTGCATGACAGCTATGAGGATGCTTGCATACGGAGCTCCTGGTGATTAACTCGACGACTATGGGTGCATGGCCGAGTCCACGACCATTGAATGTTTCTACAAGTTCTGCAGGACGGTGGTGGCAGTGTTTGGACCGCAATACTTGCGACCATCCAATGCTGAAGACACTGCTCGGATCCTAGCACAGAATGCAGCAAGACGATTTCCTAGGATGCTTGGACGCATCGACTGCATGCATTGGAAATGGAAGAACTGTCCATTTGCCTGGCAGGGATGTACAAAGGCGCCAAAGGCGGTTGCACTGTGGTACTTGAGGCAGTGGCCACACAGGACCTCTAGATTTGGCACTCCTTCCTTTGTATGCTAGGAACTCACAATGACATCAATGTGCCGCAGTGCTCACCTGTCTTTGCCAAGCTTGTTGAATGTCATTCTCCTCCAGTGAACTTTGAGGTCAATGGGCGGCACTGCTGTTGGGAAACGTAGCATGCAATTTCAAAAAAAAATCCTACGCTCACACAAGATCTATCTAGGAGATGCATAGCAACGAGGGGGGAAGAGTGTATCCACGTACCCTTGTAGACCGAAAGTGGAAGCGTTTGAAAACGCGGTTGATGTAGTCGAACTTCTTCTAGATCTGACCGATCAAGTACCGGACGTACGACACCTTCGTGTTCTGCACATGTTCAGCGCGATGACGCCCCTCGCCCTCTTGATCCAGCAAGGTGTCGAGGAAGTAGATGAGTTACGTCAGCACGACGGCGTGGTGACGGTGATGGTGATGTGATCCGCACAGGGCTTCGCTTAAGCACTACGAAGATATGACCGTATGCGTAAACTGTGGAGGGGGCGCCGCACACGGCTAATAATTGTTGTTGTGTGTTCTAGCGGTGAGGAGAGGCAGCCAACAGGGCGCCCCAAGTAGGAGGAATCCTACTTGGGGTCCTCTCCAATTCGGCCTCCCCCTTTCCATGATGCATGAAGGGGAAGGAAAGGGGGGGGGGTGAGGGAAGGAAGTGGGAATCCTAATCCACACTTTCCTTTCCCTCTCCCCCTTTCATTCTCCTCCTCCTATGGACTTATAGGGCGCACCAGCCCCTTGTGGGCTGGTGTGTTCCTTCACAAGGCCCATATGGCTCATAGGATTGCCGAGGGGCCCCGAAACACCTTCCGGTGACCCGATAAGTACCCGATATCCTCCGGAACACTTCCCGTGTCCGAATACCATCGTCCTATATATGAATCTTTACCTATCGACCATTTAGAGACTCTTCATCATGTCCATGGTCTCATCCGGGACTCCAAACAACATTCGGTCACCAAATCATATAACTCATATAATACTAGATCATCATCGAACGTTAAGCGTGCGGACCCTATGGGTTCGAGAACTATGTAGGCATGACCGAGACACCTCTCCGGTCAACTTGGATGCTCATATTGGCTTCTACATATTCTACGAAGATCTTTATCGGTCAAACCGTTATGACAACATACGTAATTCCCTTTGTCCATCGGTATGTTACTTGCCCGAGATTCGATCATTGGTATCTTCATACCTAGTTCAATCTCATTACCGACAAGTCTCTTTACTCGTTCCATAATACATCATCCTGCAACTAACTCATTAGTCACTTTGCTTGCAAGGCCTCTTATGATGTGTATTACCGAGAGGGCCCAGAGATACCTCTCTGATACTCGGAGTGACAAATCCTAATCTCGATCTATGCCAACCCAACAAACACCTTCTGAGATACCTGTAGATCATCTTTATAATCACCTAGTTAAGTTGTGATGTTTGATAGCACACAAGGTATTCCTCCGATATACGGGAGTTGCATAATCTCATAGTCAAAGGAATATGTATATGACATGAAGAAAGCAATAGCAATAAAACTGAACGATCAATATGCTATGCTAACGGATGGGTCTTGTCCATCACATCATTCTCCTAATGATGTGATCCTGTTCATCAAATGACAACACATGTCTATGGTTAGGAAACTTAACCATCTTTGATTAACGAGCTAGTCTAGTAGAGGCTTACTAGGGACACAGTGTTATTTCTATGTATCCACACATGTATCAAGTTTCCGGTTAATACAATTCTAGCATGAATAATAAACATTTATCATGATATAAGGAAATATAAAATAACAACTTTATTATTGCCTCTAGGGCATATTTCCTTCAGTCTCCCACTTGCACTAGAGTCAATAATCTAGTTCACATTGTCATGTGATTTAACACCAATAGTTCACATCTTTATGTGATTAATACCCATAGTTCATATCGCCATGTGACTAACACCCAAAGGGTTTACTAGAGTCAATACTCTAGTTCACATCGTGATGTGATTAACACCCAAAGAGTACTAAGGTGTGATCATGTTTTGATTGTAAGAGAAGTTTAGTCAACGGGTCTGCCACATTTAGAGCCATATGTATTTTGCAGATTTTCTATGTCTACAATGCTCTGCATGGAGTTACTCTAGCTAATTGCTCCCACTTTCAATATGTATCCAGATTGAGACTCAGAGTCATCCGGATCGGTGTAAAAGCTTGCATCGATGTAACTCTTTAGGACGAACTCTTTATCACCTCCATAACCGAGGAATATTTCATTAGGCCTCTTAGGTAACTAAGGATAACTTTGACCGCTGTCCAGTGATCCACTCCTGGATCACTATCATACCCCCTTGCCAAACTCATGGCAAGGTACACAACAAGTTTTTTTACACAGCACGACATACTTTATAGAACCTATGGCTGAGGCATAGGGAATGACTTTCATTCTCTTTCTATCTTATGCCATAGTCGGGCTTTGAGTCTTACTCAACTTCACACCT